TTTGTATTTTTTTTAAAAGATGTATTTTATACATGCGGACATGCGGTATGCGGACTTAGCTGCAGAGGCAAAACACCGTGGCTGGAATGCGGAAGTCCGCCCAGTGGAGGTTGGGTGCAGAGGGTTCGTGGGAACATCCACCACAAAACTACTGAGGGACTTTGGAATTAAGGGCCAGAACCAGCGCAGAGCCGTCAAAGCTGCATCAGAGGCGGCAGAAAGGAGCAGCCAGTGGCTCTGGCTGAAGAGAAAGGACCCCAGTTGGGCCCCCAAGTAGTGTGCTAGGAGGTATGCGGTCGGCTTAGGCTTGACTCAGGGAACAGGACGCCCCTGCCATGCATAGTCCCATGAGATGTACGCCGCTAGACAACAGTTGACTCTCATGACTAATTGGGCTTGGGACGCAAGCTGAGGGCTGATCATCCTGCAGCTGGCCGCCTTTGGGGAGGGTGTATAGTGTAAAGGGCCGAAACACCCCATGACCCAGAGGAACACTACTGATGATGCGTCCCACAATTTCAATTCTTCCTGATAATCTCCTTCTAGACTAGATCCACCATTCACCGACAAGTCCACCAGTTATTTGCATGTGCTCGCACAGGAAATCAACATCTCATCTTGTGTTTTTGGAATCTGATTTTCTGGACCCGTCCAGTGACTGCTGAGAAAGATCAGCTGACGACAGGGGAAAGTCCTTGTGACGGCATGGAGAGACAGCTGGCAGGAGGGAATAGACCCCAACGGGACAGTCTTGGGTTAGCTGCCCACCACTGTAGTCTCTCATGCTTCGCAGCACGTCAGAGACACCCCTCAGTAGCTACGAAAAAGCAAACAAAGAGAACACCCCCAGAGTCTGCGAGAGCGGGGGCGGAAGAAGACTCATCGGCTGACAAAATGGTAACGACTGGACCGGAAACGACTACGAGCAAAGACAGCACAGCGCAAAAGAACACCACAGCAACCAGCTCAGCAGCAGACCACAAGCTCCAGATATGTAGCTGCGGATGGAGGAAAGTAACATCTTTTCGGGGTTTGAGGATTCACCAGGGAAAGAAAAGGTGTGTGAGGGAAGAGAGTCAGGGGCCTCGCATTGACTACTTCCTGCGGAAGGCGTCAAATCAGTCGAATGAAGTTCACCAACTGGACGAAAACCATAGCTTGGAGAACATCAGCACCCCTGTCACGGAAGAGGAAAACTCAAGCACAGAACTAGCGGTGGAACAAACATCAGCGGTGGAACCCACCCAAACTCCCCGACCTGCAGTCGAGCGGAGACTCCAAAGCAACAGACTGCGTGTGAAGTGGCCCGGCGCTGCAGAGAAGAAGCTGTGGGAAACGGTGAATAATGACCTGTCCCTGTCCCTACAACAACTTCGAGACACAGTGGAGAAGAAGTTGGAGACAATGGGAAATACCATCTATCATTACGGAGCAGAACGCTTTGGTGTATTGGAGGCGAAAGCAGTTAAACAGGCTCCCACTCCACCGGCCTCAAGGAGGCAACAGGAGATCAAGCGCCTTGTTCAGGAAAGGAGACAACTCAGGAAACTCTGGAAGAAGGCCTCGGAAGTGGAAAAGGAGGGAATAAGCGCCCTCCAAGCCGACATCAAAACACGCCTGGCATCCCTCCGCAGGGCAGAGAATTCACGGAAAAGAAGGAGGAACAAAGAACAAACACGAACACGGTTCTACAAAGAACCCTTCAAGTTCCTGAAGACTCTCTTCACAAAGGAGAAAAGCGGAGTTCTAAAAACAACAAAGAACGACCTGGAGGAGCATCTGAGATCAACTCACTCTGATCCAAAACGCTATGAACGCCTGGAAATCCCTCCAGACATCCCACCAATCGACCCCCCAGAACATCAATTCGAGACCGGTCCTCCAACGTGGAAAGAGGTGGAGAAGTTCGTCCATCGGTCGCGAACAGCATCAGCTCCTGGGCCAAACGGAGTCCCATACAAAGTGTACAAGAACGCACCAGATGTCTGTAGGTATCTCTGGAGCCTCATGAGGACAGTTTGGCAGAAGAAGACAATACCCAAAGCGTGGCGTAGGGCAGGTGGGATCCTTATTCCAAAGGAGAAGGACGCAACAAACATCAGCCAGTTCCGCCCCATCGCCTTGCTTAACGTGGAGGGCAAGATCTTCTTTGGAATCATTGCACAAAGGATGGCCGAGTACCTGCACAAAAATGAGTACGTGGATACATCTGTACAAAAGGCAGGGATATCGGGCTTCTCTGGGTGCCTAGAACATTCCAGCATGATCTGGCACCAGATCCAAATGGCAAAACTGGAGAAAAAGGATCTCCACGCGGTTTTCCTGGATCTTGCAAACGCCTTCGGTTCCGTGCCCCATGAGCTCCTATGGACTACCTTTCAGTTCTTTAACATCCCGGATACCATCACAACCATGGTCAAAGACTACTTTCAGGACCTGCAATTCAGCTTCGCTACGCCTGAATTTACCACCTCATGGCAGTGCCTGGAAGTAGGCATTATGGCTGGATGCACCGTTTCTCCCCTGGCTTTCACCATGGCGATGGAGGTTATCATTCGAGCCTCGAAATGGGTTGTAGGCGGACAAAGACTCGGCTCTTGCCGGCGCCTCCCTCCCCTCAGAGCCTACATGGACGACATCACCACACTGACTACCACTGTCCCATGCACCAGGAGGCTACTCAGAAAGCTTGAGGAGAACATCAGCTGGGCCCGTATGAAGATCAAACCATCTAAGTCACACAGCATCTCAGTGGTCAAGGGAGTGCTTACGGACGTGCAGTTCTTCATCGGTGATGACCCAATCCCCACTGTTTCTGAGCAGCCAGTCAAAAGCCTTGGAAGGCTCTACGATGCAAGCCTGAAGGACAAAGACCAGGTGGAGCAACTGCGCAATGACATCAATGCAGGCCTAAAGGCGATTGACAACACCCAACTCCCTGGGAAGTTGAAGACCTGGTGCTTTCAGTTTGGTCTACTACCCCGGGTGTTGTGGCCCCTGTCAGTCTACGAGGTGCCCATCTCAACGGTAGAGAAGCTGGAGAGAAGAGTCACAGCCCATGTCAAGAGGTGGCTTGGAGTCCCTCGCTGCCTCACCACCATAAGCCTGTATGGAGACAGTGTCCTCAAGCTGCCCCTCACCAGCCTTACGGAGGAGTTCAAGTGTGCCAAAACACGACTGCAGATGACCTTGAACGAATCCAAAGATCCGGTGGTCAGAGAGAATGCACCGACCTTGGCCACTGGGCGCAAGTGGAGACCAGCAAGAGCAGTGGAGGAGGCAACAGCAGCTCTGAAACATGCTGACATCGTGGGGAACGTTCAGCAAGGAAGAGTAGGCCTCGGGCTAACAACCAGCCGCCCAGCCTGGAGAAACTCCACTGCTCCAGCACGGAGGAAGATGGTGGTGGAGGAAGTGCGGCGTCAGGAGGAGACGGCAAGATGGGCCAAGGCAGTCTCCCTCGGCAAACAGGGCCTGTGGACACGGTGGGAGGGTGTCGAAAGGAGGAAGTTGAGCTGGAGGGATGTATGGGCTATGGAAGCAAGGAGTTTGAGCTTTGCCATCAGAGCCACCTACGACGTGCTCCCAACACCAACTAATCTCCATCAGTGGTTTGGCGAAGACCCAGGGTGCGTCCTGTGCTCCAAGCCAGCCTCCCTTCGGCACATACTCACCGGGTGCAAAACCAGCCTCACCCAAGGACGATATACTTGGCGCCACAACCAAGTCCTGAAGAGCCTTGCTGCCACGCTGGAGGAGAAACGATCTAGCATCAACGCCCTATCCCTGCCAACACCTAAGTCCTCAACAACACCATGGGCAACGGCCTTTGTCCGAGAAGGGGCTACAGCTACCAGGAGCAACTCCACACCATCAGAGAGAAGCCAGCTGTGCCTTGCACGGGACTGGAAGATGCTGGCAGATATCGGCAAACAGCTGGTGTTCCCCTCGGAGATTGCCACCACCACCTTGAGGCCTGACTTAGTGCTCTGGTCCCCCTCCGTAAAGAAGGTTTACATAATTGAACTCACCGTACCCTGGGAGGAGTCCATGGAGGAGGCATATGAGCGGAAGTATCTGCGGTATGCGGACTTAGCTGCAGAGGCAAAACACCGTGGCTGGAACGCGGAAGTCCGCCCAGTGGAGGTTGGGTGCAGAGGGTTCGTGGGAACATCCACCACAAAACTACTGAGGGACTTTGGAATTAAGGGCCAGAACCAGCGCAGAGCCGTCAAAGCTGCATCAGAGGCGGCAGAAAGGAGCAGCCAGTGGCTCTGGCTGAAGAGAAAGGACCCCAGTTGGGCCCCCAAGTAGTGTGCTAGGAGGTATGCGGTCGGCTTAGGCTTGACTCAGGGAACAGGACGCCCCTGCCATGCATAGTCCCATGAGATGTACGCCGCTAGACAACAGTTGACTCTCATGACTAATTGGGCTTGGGACGCAAGCTGAGGGCTGATCATCCTGCAGCTGGCCGCCTTTGGGGAGGGTGTATAGTGTAAAGGGCCGAAACACCCCATGACCCAGAGGAACACTACTGATGATGCGTCCCACAATTTCAATTCTTCCTGATAATCTCCTTCTAGACTAGATCCACCATTCACCGACAAGTCCACCAGTTATTTGCATGTGCTCGCACAGGAAATCAACATCTCATCTTGTGTTTTTGGAATCTATACACATCTTTTACTGGTAACTGGGAATACATAAGGAGGACATTTCATTAACTAGTTGCACATGAATTCCACATAGTGAACCGCTGGTGTTTACTGAACATCTTCTCACTGAATCAATGTGTGTCGTGGACGTCGAGGGAGCCTCCTGCTGCTGCCCAGCCACGCTCTGTTCAAAAGGGATGAGAATGTGTTAATAGTGTCACTCTGGACTCCACCAGAATGGTCAGAAATGTCAGTGGGAAGAGAAATCTTGGTCACATATCAAGAAGCTACCTCCATAGGCCTTCCTGGCTCCTCCACCGAAAACGCAGCAGACGTGGTTCGCTCCTCATCATCGTCGTCTTCGTCCTAGATGAGTGATATGATTCAGTATTCTTAAACTACCATTCAGCAAAGGCTTTCGAGTGTTGCCTACTTACAGTTGGAGGGTCTGCTGCGTCATGAGGGGGTTCCAGGAGGCGAATGGCACCATCAGAATCTGTCGGGACAAAAGGAAAAATACATTAAAGGGAAAGAAATATTTGTATGAATAGGCTTACAAAGAGAGGAATATATAGGTAGAGAAATATTACATATTATGTAGGCACTTGTGTCTTGGGCGGGGGGGACCTCAGAGGACGAGCTCCCGCCAGGGATTCCCTCAGCCACTGGCCGTCCCCTGTTCTGGCTCAGGGCCAGCTCCTCTGCCTCTGTTAGAGGTGTGGCTGCTGGGCCACCACCGGTTTTTCGGGCGTCTGCCCTCTTTCTGTTTGCTGAGTGAAAGTCTGTGTTAGTTTATTATTCCTAATCATTTAACAGAACATCATAAGAGAGTAAAATTCATTTTTGAATGTGAAAAGAGCATTCTGTAAGGGATCAAACTGCCACTTAATACATACTTGACAATGTAAAACATGATAAAAATGAGAAAATGCAGATGTCTCACCTGTTTGCAAAATGTTTTTATATTTCATTTTCAGCTGCTGCCAAGTGCGCTTTTGTCCCGCTGGATTGCACCTACATAAAACAAATTAATTTGCTCCATGCAAGCAGTTTCCCCTGCAACAGTCTGTCATTGTGATTGCACAAGACTACATTTAAACTTACGCATTGACACAAGCAGCAATTTCTTCCCATGCCCTCTCCCTCTCCTTTGCAGCTGCTGCTGTATTGCACTTTCGTTTTAAAATGTGCTGTAATTCACCGTATGCTTGCATTAAGACTTCCTGCTCCACTGGTGTAAAAAAAGGCTGCCCTCCTTCTCCCTGTTTCCATGGTTGATCAATGAATCTGGGCTCAACAGATGCTGGCTGTTTATATCTGGCGTGCACGTGCTTAACTCCAGGTGAAACTACTCGGAGTTGCTAAAACTGACTCAAATCAGGTGTCGGACCCCTGATGTAGCACCCCTCATAACACTGGCTCCATCACACGTCTGGCAGATAAGTTTAACTTTCTGTTAATCAGGACGTATTCCAGCAAGATGTTCTCTTAATGCTGTAGCAATGGACTCAGCTGTTGCTGCAAAGGGACGAATTCAAAAAATTGTTCCTGCACTGTGTTTTTGTCATCAATGTAGCAAAGCACAAGTACAAGTTTGTTTTGGGTGCTAATGCCCATCATTTCATCTGCCTGAGTTGACAGAAAATCACTTTTCTGGGCTTTTTGATGATGTGTTCCCTTACATCAGACAGCATGCAGTCAAGGAGCTCATTCTGGGCAATCTTTGATGACCTCTTGAACACCAATGCATTCCCAAGGTGCTCTTTCAACACACTATACAGAGAGGTAGCAAAGTCCACCAAGCAACGTAATATTCCTGGGTTATCGGAGCTCTCACTCTCGTCATGGCCATGCAAAACCAACACAAACCCCCACAGAATTTTACACGTTATAATTCTGTAGTGTTTTTTTTTGTCTCCTCTTTGTTGTGTTTCCTGATGCTAGTTTGGTAGCCTTCATTGGGCTGGTCTGCAATGCTTAAAAGTTTAGCCTTGTAGTCTTTTCACACATTTAGGTGAAGAAATATAGAATGATTATCTTTTATTAAGGGGTTTCAAATAATCTGGGTTGGCCTACTTATGCAGCCTCATAACTGAGAGGTTGTAGCAAGGCTGCTTTGCAGGTACCAAAACACACACACATATATATTAGCGATACAAGCAGTACACAATGATTATATCAGAGGTACAAGCAGTACACAATGACTGTATTCAGATGCACACCTGACAGTATAAAAGGGAGTAGAAGAAAAGCTTAAGAAGGCTTTTCCTCAGGTTTGGTCAAGACTCTGTCATCTGTACTGATTTCTACATATGTACAATAAAAGATGCCCTGGTTGCTCTTCAGATCTCATCCTGTCTCCTGTGCATTGTTTTCCTCAGTTTATGCAGATTTTCCACAACTGCTTTCAGCTATTTTCAAGGTGACTGCGGCTACATTCGTGCTCCTTGGCTTTCTCAGTGAAATGTTTTAAGTCCCTCATCCCCGTTGAGGTCCATTAGTTTTCAGTCCCAGGGGTTTGAAATAGCAAGCAGAGGAAACAAAAAAAAGCATTACTTGCTGGGCATCCGGCTAGCCAATTCCGATTAGCAAACATAGTTGAAGAGAAGGTCCATGTATATGATCTCCCATTGTCAGTTTTCTGCTGCAAGATGTTTAAATCCAGACAGTCAAAAAAGGTGTTTTGAGCAATGAAACAACAGAGTTTTCCTTGACTGCAGCTGCCATGGCCCCAGCCATCAGGTGTATTTCATAATTTGCATGTGAGTTCCAGAGTCATTAAGTTTGTCGGTGGCTTTTGTCTTGCAAGCTATCACAGTTGTTAACCGTATCTGAGGTCTTGTAAGGATGCCTAGCTCATGTTCACACTTTAAAGAATGGGAGGTCCACACAAGATTATCATTTTGACAAGCTTCACTGGTTGTGAGAATGTTCAGGTATAGCCGTCCAAGTTTCCAAACATTCTGCTTGCATCTTGTTGACCTGAGGGAGAGTCCATGAAGGGTAATAACAAAGCACAACATATTTTGGGAGCCTAAGCTATGTTAAACATGGGTACAAGGTCCTTGTTGAGGATAGTTGTCTGAGGCCCACAGCTCCAGAAATCTAGCACCAAAGTATCCAAGGTATTTGAGTGACACAGCTCCACCCCCTCAAGGATGACATGACTGGCTGAAGAAAATCACCCTAACAGGTCATGTGTAAATGAGTGTGGTGTCTTCACTAGTAGTGATGAACATATCTGATGTGATGAAATTGCCCAATCATGTTAAGATGAAATATAAAGAAAACAATGACATTTGCGCCCCAGAAATGAATACTAATCCACCAAGAAAGGCTGCCTCTGCTGAAAAAAGAGCAGAAAGTTCGCTGGCTCTCGTAGACTCCAATGTGTCGTGCGCCCCTAAACTGGAAGAGGTGTGGCGTGTGGTGTATTTTGTGGACCCAGAAGCAGACGCAGAGACAGATAGCCAGTTAAAAGATGTAATTTTAATGTCCAAGCTCAGGGGGAAAAAGGTACGATAGAAAGTCCGGTTGGCTGTCTGGCTGTTGTGTGGGCTGGAGACACTGTGGAGAAGCAGAGAAGAGGGAAGTGAGAAGACATGCAAAGAATCACAAGGAGCAAAAAAGTCACAAGCACTTATCCAAGGAGAAAGTCAGAAAAAGCATCTGTACCACTCAGGAGTGAAGACAATACTCAGGCTCTGAGATTGAGGGCTGCTAGCTTCTTCAAGGGCCTTGATTGCCAATGCAGTGCAGGTGTGGAGTCTCTCTCAGCCTCAGCGACCGGGGGGGAGGGGGAGTGCTCTGAAAGACAGTCAAGCCAGACCAGGGACACAAAGAAAACAGGAAGTTCCTTCAAAACAAAACCGGAGATGGAGGCGTCTCACTACAAGAGGGCCTTATATGCAGTTGCAAATGATCTATCACATGAGGAAAAAACACAATGTATGATTGTTGATTTTTTTCCCCCATTTGTTATGGTCAGGTGATTCATAGATAAATGAATCTGATACATATTAAGAGTCAATGTTTCACGGATGGGCCATGGGGGCCCTTAAACTATTCTGACTCAATGAACAAAATTACTACATGTCATCATGCTTCTTATGTGCATGAGTTTATATTTCCTTAAGCCATATTAACTGAAATACTTTCTGTTTAGTTTAGAAAGTCTACCACTTCTGGTGATGTATGTAGAAGTAGTAGATTGGACTGTGCTTTTGTCCTGTGTTTCCACACACTTCTCCAACACTCTGCTGGGAGTTCTTTTTGGCAGTCTTTTGTTTTTCACATTGCTGTGTGTCTGCTTCACATCATCACAGGTTTCAGTCACATGTGCTTCATCCACTTGTGGCTCAGGTGTGTTTTGTGACACATCTGGATCAGATGCAATAGTTGGCTGAGCAGACTCTGGCCATTACTGGCAAAATGTGACGTTGGTTGCCTCTGTACTCCTGTCCTTCAGACTCATCAATGTATAAACGTGGCTCAGCACACTTTCTTTTTAGCACGCCCAGTTTGTCGCGTCCTTTTGGTGTTTGGAGTCTTACCACTTGGTTTTCTGTTTGGGGAGTTAGTGCCTTACTAGACTGGTCATAGTAAGCTTTCTGTGCTCTGCACATTTTTGTAAGCTGAGGTTTGACACTTTCCGTTAGTTTTGCTGCTGGTTTTAGAAGTACTTTGCTGATTGGTAAGGTTATTTGAGTCTGCCTGGCGAGGGGTCTTTGTGCAGGGGAAACCCAATATGTTGTCTCTGGGCATGTTTCTGGTGTTAAGCAGGTTTAGGTGGAAGTCTGTTCCATCTGTTTTTGTCGTCTCTAACAGTTTTTTTGTACTCCTCACTGCTCCTTCACTGAGGCAGTTGGCGGTGGGTATTCAGGACTGCTGGTGCTGATAAGATAATGTTGCACACTTCAAGGAAGACACTATAGCATCAAGATAACCCTGTGTGTGAAACCCACAAATTCCTCGCAGGAAAGGCCCCTTATCTGGTCTAAGCACACAGGAAAATATAAATCTTTCCAGACTTGTACCCAACTGACCCAACCGCAGGTTGACCTCTGGTTCTTCACAATTGGTCAATTTGAAAAACAGGGACAGAGTTTTTGTTAACTTTAAACTGACTCCATCACTGACCATCTAAATAAACATTAACACCTCAACCCAGGTCTTCCACTGAAAGCAGATGAATCCACTCAGCAGTACACTTCATCTTGTGGAAAAAGCAGGTAATTACACCAACTTAGTTTAACATTGCTTTCTGTCTGTGTGTCTGTTGTTAGAGTACAATGGATAATTAAATAAAACAGTAAATCAATTACAACATATTAAAAAACAGTAAATGAGTTATTTAACTCTAGAAAAATTTTAATGTAAATGTAAATCACACTGTAATGAAGCACTCTATAGAAGTGAAAAGGGTGGGGTGCCTTTTTTATTAACTGCAGAACTCCGTATTCCCACAATACGGTATTCCTTTATGATTTCCACAGGGGGAAACTCCAGATCACAACCGGAAAGTCCCAAATTCTTGAAAGATCTGACAGGTGTACTGAGTGCCTAGTTCGAGTATAGCTTCTGTGGAATGCCATGAACTGAGAAGTGTCTTTTGAGCTTTTTAACCACACAAAGGGATGATAGGCTGCTGAGCTGGTCTATCTTAAACCAACGTGAGCATGAGTCAGCTAGCACAAGGTGGTGATGGTTGTTCCACTCAATTAAATTGTGATGGTAGACCAGGGCAGGTCAGGGACTGTGTGTGGTTTTAGTGGCTCTTTTTGTTGGTGAGGCTTCAAACTATTGCAGATGCTGCATGTCTTGACACTAGTTTTAATGTCATTGTTTAATGAGGGCCAGAATACAGTTTCTCTTGCCCTTCTTTTTGTGGCTTCCCCACCTGAGTGACCTCTTTGTAGCACTTGTAGATATTCTGCGTGCATATAGGCCATGAGCCAGGGGGGTTGGTCGGTATCAACTGAGGGGAATAATGCTCATAGTGATTTTTGACATTGTATACATGTTTAGAGTTAGAAAATATGTGATACCATTGCAGCAGTGGTAACTAAATGGGTGCTATCATGCATTTTATTTTATAACACTAGGTGAAAACTACATGGGTCAATATATGAAAACATACAACTTAACCCCCCAAAAAACCTATAGAAAGGGTTTCTTTTCACCATACATCATTTCTATAGGGTGTCTAGACTAACATAATATAAGTCCTATGAAATCCTCATTGGAAAAGTATGTTAATTTCACCAGACAACAATATGCAAACGAGCTCAAAACTCATTAAAATTTGCCCAAAATACTCCCTCCATCATAAAGGAAAGTGATTCAGCTCCTTGACATAAAAACACTCTGCTGTTCTCTGAATTGTGTTGTACGGGACTACTCCACCACCACTGACTGGCCTATTTATACTGTGTGCCTCAATTAACTCAATGCACAGCATGTGTGTGTTGTGCACACCCAGCTCCATCCATTTAGACTGACTCAGGCCAGGTGTGAGTGTGACAACTTAAATCACAGCAAGAATAAAGTAGAAATATCTAGCCTATGCATTACTTACCATGTTTTATGTATTAACATGTTTAGGTTGTGTACAAATTAAACCTTTGTGTTACATCTTTCATGAAAACGAAAGACATATATTGTCACTATGTTGTCACTGCTTATAAGAGAAAAAAACATCTAGAGATGCTGATTCCAACAACTCTACTGAACAATATATAGCTTGGGCTTTATTCTGACATTTTTTCACAGAGATAGGGTCAATTAATAAGAGAGAACCATCAGTTTGAAGTAGAATGATTAATTCGGATTTTTAAAACTCTGTTTTGGCATGTGGTCATAAATTGAGTGATAACACACAGAAAGCTACCACAGATGCAATGCTATCACATTTTTTCTAGTACTAGAGGTGTATATCTACCTAAAAATCACTATGAGAATTATTCCCCCCAGTTGATACCGATGACCCCATATTTGGAGTCCTAGCTTAAGGCCTAATAGGAATAATTGCTCTATTACCTTTCATGATGATTTCGTCTTCCACAGTGATTTCCTTACAGAGGCCAAAAAATTGTCTTATCTCAGCTTGTCTTATCTTATCTCTTATGTTGGATAGATGTCATGGCCATCCATTCTTGATAAAACTGATGAGTGTTTGCAGAGTCTGATCATCCAGTTTGCTCACAGAGTTCCCCAAGGCACTGAGGAGAACTGAGTTGGATTATCATCACTTTAAACTCAGGCTGTTCCTCTTTCTGGGGAAGGACGTTGCGCCTTGGTGCACAAGAGAGAGAGAGTGTCAACCAGATATAGCTGATACCCCTTCTGGTAGGTCAGAGCCGAGTTGAATTTCTGCAGCATCATGTGCAGTTAACACACAGGGATGGAATGAAATGGTTGGTCGTGAATTGTCACCAAAGACCAGTGGTCAGTTTCAATCACTAATGATTTGCCAAAGATGTAATCATGGAACTTGCAACAAGCAAAAACCACTGCCAGCAACTCCTTCTCTATCTGTGCATACCTGGGGCCTCATGTATCAACGCTGGCGGTGCCAGAAAACCTTGCGTCCGCCAAGATCGGCACACACGTCCAGATTTATCATCGCGACACGAGCGTCGGTTCCAGCGCTAATCAACGCAAAGTGAGGAGGTGGTGTAGAAGTTGGCGTTGAGCCGATACTTGCGTTGACGGCACTTTGGCGACGCTGTGTGGTGGTGTTTGGTGACTCACTATGTGACAAGCGTGCACCACATCCCCGTGGCCGAGCAGCACGTCGCCCCACATGACGAACCAGCAGCAGACGGAGGGCTGCGAGCTGATCCCTGCCGGGCCGCCGTCCTCGCGCGGGAGAATCTCATTGCCACAGTGCGAATGGGTAAGAAGTGAATACACAGTTCAATGAGCCAAATTAATTTATTTTCTCCACCAGACGCTTGGGACATTTACGTGCCGGTCCAGCCGCTCGTTGATCCCCGCGATCCCCCTGATGATTTCTTTCTGCGATTGCAGGACCGCCTCCGTGAGGACCCTTCCACTGCGTCCGGGTGGTCCAGCGGAAGCACCGCGGCTGGTGGACGCTCCACCGCTTGTCGGCGCGCTGGTGCTGATGCTGGTGCTGGTGACGGGCTGCCGCGGGCCGGGGTTCAGCAAGCCGGCGACACGGCCGACACATTGATTTCTGTGACACAATAAAAATACTGGTTCATTTCAATTCCTGCTTCTGTGTATCTGTTGCGTTTACATCTCTCTCCACGGTATCATAGGTAATGTAATCCAGTATTTAGAGGTCAGTTATGCACATTACAGTTGTTTATTGCATAAAAAGTTATCGAAAAATGAAGTTAAGGGCGAAGTATAAATCACGTCTAAAATAGACTGAATCCCGACGTTGAAATGAAGTATAAACTTAGACTAGACGTCTAATATACGTCTTTTGCTCAGTGGGATGGCAAAGCATGTGGACATTTGTGTGACACGCCACTTACCCTGTAATGATAATCGCCACCACCCGCTGCTCAAACGGCGTGAGGGTCTCGCCCCCCTCCCACCCCCTCCTGTCTGGCCGGTACTCCTCCGGAGGGCAGCTGTACGCCGCTTGACCTCCACCTTGAGGTCCGACCACTTTTTTTTAATCTCCGCGGGGGTGCGTGTCTCGGAACCCACCGCGTTCACCCTCTCGGAAACTTTCTCCCACTCCAAGCGTTTTCGTTTTGCACTGACGCCACTGGACAGGCTGCCAA